GCACGTTCATATGAGCCTTGGTGGCAAGTTGGGGGTGTCCAACTTGTTTGTCTTCAAGGTAGTGAGGATCGATGAGGATCGCGTCGATCTCGCCGGCAATCTCCTCAAGCTTGGCAATTCGAGATCTGTCCTTGACATTGTTTTTGATCCTATTATATTGACTTCAGCCATGGTTGACTTGCCAGGTGAAGAGTCTTCCAAAACTGGTCGGCGATCACCGATGATGAAGGTGCGCATGGGGTCTGCAGAGGGTCAGCGTCTGAAGGTGAAGCACGGAAGTGGCTATCCAGAGTGCGTCCCGAGCGCGGGGCTGGAGGGTGATCTTGGTCTGGGACTTGTCCAAACGCACCTTGTCTGGATCCTCAAGAGCTTCGTTCTCAGTGGGGCTGTGTACAGGAGTGACCGGTGACCGGAGGCTGCTTTAAGTTTCTCATTCTCTTTAAGCAGCTGCTCCACTTGGTCCTGAAGTGGTGTGTTTGGGCATTTGATGGCGGAGGAGCTCGCCTTGTCGACCAGTCGAGCCATTGCGCTTCTCATCCCAGTCGTCCTTGAGCGCGGGAGGATGGAGGTGTCCAATGACGCGGGCAATGTCAACATCCATGCTCTTGAAGATCTTGCGAAACAAAGAAGACCAAAGATAGGCTTCCTGTCGATTGCGGAAACCTTGAAATTGGACCAAGCGGCCATTCGCCGCCAGCCGAAGTGTCCAGTTCTCCTGCTTCCGGCGCATCAATCAAGCGGACATCCTCAATGACTTGATGATCAATTTGAAGATCACGACTCCAAGCGGTGGCGACGACACGGCGGGCAAAGGTCAACTTGTACTCCTGTTTCCGATCCAGGTAGATGTCGTCGCCTGCCAGTGTTTAGGGGCAGAGATGCATTCTCGACCGGGAGGCCGGAGGATTTCCGTCGAGGGGTCCGAGATCTGCGGGAGGTGCGACGATCACGATTTCCTCTTCGTCGATGTTGGTCCGCAGAGCTGCTCGAAGGTCGGCCGCGAGGCATGATGATGTTCGGGGGAGGCCGAGAACGCGACGGTGAGGAAATGATGGTTCAGACTGGGTAATGGCTGCAGTGAACGTACAAAGTCATACGGAGGAAGAAATTGGTGTGGGGGGAGCAGAGAAAGGTTAGATCATACGGAAAAATTGATAGTGGGTAAGCGCAAGCCGATGAAAATCAAACAGAGCGCACAGGTCTGTGAGGCGCATAGTTTTGTCAAAAGGCCGAGGTCGAGTAAAAACCCAGTAAAAGCCCACGCTACAAAATGCCTCAAGTTTGCCGAGGAGGACCGGAGGAGTGCGACGAGTTGCCCGCCAAAGCTGTCCACGTAGTAGACCTCGTCCGTCAAGAGGGTGGCGATGTGTATTGTCCAAGGTTTGTGACAATGAGGAAGAGTTCATAGACCCACGTGAAGATGTAGTGCAAGGTGTATATAGAGTCAGAGGTGGAAGAGCCCGAAACGGGCGGGAGCGGGAGCGTGCGGGGTTGTCGTCGAGATAGTAGTGCAGCATCTTCAGTGACTCCAAGCTCTAGGTTCCGTGGGGTTGACCCGGAAAAAGGCATGAGAAGTGGGATCGCCAGGTGTAGGGCCGACAAACTGTAAGAGGGAGACGCCCCGTGCAATCTACGCTGCAGGATGCTGAACTCGTGGATTGCGCGGCGCATTTGGATGTAGATGTTCCGGGCGGATGTTCTCGAAGTACTGATCGGGCGGTACTTCTTAGGGGATGGGGTGAGGGTAGGCTGAGTGATTCAACGATCCAAGCGGACAAAGAGACCATCCAATGTAGCCAAAGTAACTCAGGCTGACGTTGAGGTTGAGGTCGAATGAGCCCCGATGTAGGACTGAGGGGGATCTCGTACGGATTGAAAACGGCTTGTCGCGTAGGCGGGACAGTAGAGGCCGCCAGCAAACCAGGAGGAGGAAACTCCATGATATCGGCACAAAGCAGGGTGGGAGGGTGCAGCGCGGGTACCAAAAACGGCTAATGGACAGAAACAACTAACAGAAAGGAATATCTCAAGATGGGAACCTGGATAGGGGCAAGTCAAGGTCTAGTGTGGGAAAAAAGAGGAGAGGGCATGGAATCCAGACATGAAACGTGGAAGGAAGTGGTATCGTTGAAAAGTGACCAGGAAGAAAGGACTCTTTTTCTCCATTTCGAGCGAGCAAACGGAAGAAACCTCCAGTGAGACGGGTGAGCTAAGGCGCTCAGAGTCAGGCTGTGAGGAAGGCCCAGGTCCAAAGGGTTCCGGCTATAGCGAGGCAAAGAGGTAGCGAGGCAAAGAGGTACGTGGTAGAGCATGAGGAGGATATAGCGCCAAGCGATCCAGGAGGCGGTTGGTCCGTTGAACCTCGTCAAACATGCGAGCCGTCGAGGTGTGGAGATCCCGTAGGATCTGCTGTAGATCGTCAGGGAGGAAGTCAGGGGTGTCCGTCGTACAAGGCATCTCATGAAGAACCTCCAAAGAGTGAACGATCGAATCCAATAATGCCCTGCGTGAAATCAAGAGGGCAATGATGCCCAGAGGAGTTTGTTCCAAAAAGAGGCTTCCATCGAAAATAGGAGCGGAGGGATGGGTGAGTGACCACGAGGCAAATTGAACAGGTTTGACCCACTGGGATAAAAGGAAAAATCAATATAGTGTTAGTGAGAATCCAACGTAAGAGTGAAAACGGATTGAAGGAAGTCAGACAAGGTAAAATGAAACCAAACTAAGTTGATCAAAGCGAGCGGTCGGCTTTTTGCTCTGGGAAGATAGGTCCAGGGGAGCAGAAACGTGGATCTCCATAGGAGAAAGGGGCGCTGCTCCAAGGTAATGTACAGTGAGGACAGGGGCGGGGTTCCATCATGCGGGTGCATACAGATCGCGGGCTTCCAGACCATAGGTCCGGAGTTCACGAATGTTGATGAAAAGCCCTGCGTATTGAATTTTGCTCACTGCAGAGGACACTTAAATCGACCATCGGCCCGATTCCTCGCAAAGGTACCCCTCCAGATTTCGCCACATAATGTGTCAAGCTGCGAGAAAAGCATTCTCCTGCCACAAAGTATTGGCGGCCAGACTCACGACCGCCGTGTTCAGAGGCGGTCTGCAGGACACACTGATATTCCGCGGACAAAGAATCGGAAATCGTTTCATCGATGCGTCCGTCGTTGTAGTGGCCATGACCCGGCTAGCAGCAACGGCAGTAGAAGCCCAAGTTGGGGAGGTAGTTGTCCGATTAGTTGTCCTGATTGGAACCCCGCCAGGAGCTGCAGGCGAATGAATCCGTCCGACAAGATGCCCTGCGTAGACAGCCGGACAATTGTGAACTTAAGGTGTGCACAGCGGAGAAGCCGAGGGACGCGGAAGCATCGTTGAGAGGGTAGTCCAACTTCAACATAAGGATCAGCGTCTTGTGTTTGATCAATTTGGCAAGCGTGAAGGCGGGGCCCCGATCCATGATTCGATCAACATGACTCAAATGTTGAAGGAAAAGCTTGATGTGGTTGTTCCACTGTGCTGCTAAAAGTGCTAAAAGCAAATCGCAGGAACAAATTACACAATCGAAGGGTTCCCTGTGACTCCAAGGGCTTCATGTTCAAAAACTAAGGGGCAAGCAGCTAGCAAACGTGCATGAGTGCGCGCAAAGGAGACAAAAGAATGACGAGACCTGTGTGTGGTTGCGATGAAAGGGAAACCAAATGCACAGGGACAACCAGTGAACCAGAGCTCATTGTCAAAGCCCCCGGGCGACCTAAAACCTGGGTTGAAGGTAAGTTGCGCGCGTACATGCCAAGGGCCGGGGTGTTGCAAAAGAAAGAACGGAATGAGATGACGGAACATGAAGGCAGAAGGACATGAAAAGAAAAAGGAAAGAAGATGTGTGTGGAGGGGAGAGATGGATGGGGAAACCAAATGGAGGCGAAACCAGCGAAGCCAGACCTCATTAGAGAAAACCTAGGTAGACCTGGCCCCGTTGAGCACGCCCTGTGTGCACTTAAGGTTGAGACAGGCCCCAGTGGGCTTTGAAAGAGCTTCGGCCGCTGCGGCCACCTCGTGGCGTGCTCAAGGGCTGCCTGCTCTGTCCGCTGTGGACACGTTTTTTGGCCTGCTCGAGAGCTGCCCACTACTCAAATGCAATAATTCATCAAGTCTTGGCAAATAATTTTGACGTAAGCCTACTCTCGCTGCGAGCTACTCTGTTTCCGAGCAATGGAAACCTAGACAAACCCCTGATCAACGGGGCCACAGGGGACACTCCCCGAGTTCACCCTGGGCTGGGATGAAGCGAGGTATGAAAGCCTAGGAGGTCAGGAAACATGGGGCCTATAAAATGAAGCCTCCAAAGCCCACGAATTTGAAGGTCGGAAACCGCGGACAGGCTGACGACGACCGCCCATGTCTGCAGAACTCATTAGCCCTTTACTGGAGAGTGGAGTCACAGCCTGGTCAACAGTTCAAAAAGAAGCAGGTACGTGGAGTTGATCAGACTCCATATCAGTCGTGGCGTAGCCCTTTTTGTTGGGCAACCAGCTATGCTCACAAGGTTGCCCCCCTGCTAAAAGCAAGTCGCAGGAACAAATTACACAATCGAAGGATTCCCTGTGACCCGAAAATTTTCATGCACAGACACACACACACATTCTTTTTCTCTTTCCTCTCGTGTCTTTTCCACCTTCATGTCCGGTCATGTCATTCCTTTATTTCTTTTACCCGCGCGTCCGGCCCTTAGCGTGTACGTGCGCTTGTGCACTTAAGTTAGGTTTTGACAAGAAGGTTTGACTCATCAATTGTCCTATTTTTCAGGTTCTTTATCACCCTGGGCTCTTAGGTTTCATTACTAGGTCAATCAGTGTGCATTTTCCCGAGTGTGTGGGCAAAGCGGTGTGGGAAGGACGTGGACGGTTTGGTCTCTTTCAGTCTGTTCTTCAAAGATTGCGTTTAGCGGCTTAGCGTTCCAAGCAGCTGGAGTTGCGGGTTTACATGCTACAGGAAAGTTTGCTAAGGCGGTGTGGAGATGGTGAAGGGGCGCAAGTGCGAGACAGCGCAGGTTGCGGCCGGTCAGGTTTTTTACGCACCTTGTCACCAATTTTATGGCCCATGGCGCGCCAGGTGAATGATTTAAGAACCTACACACGCAGGAGTTGAACAATAGAAGCCAAAAGAATTTAAGGGAGACCAGGAAGGGAAGGAAGGGAAATAGCCACATCACACCAGGAATTGCTGAGCAATATCGCAATCAAGCAATTCGAGGTGGTGGCTCTTGGCGCGGGCCCCTTTCTCCTGACGACCCGATGGAGCCGACTGATGAGCCGTGGCCCTAGGATAAAGCTCTGCGTGATATGTTGCAACAAATGTCCATTTCTGAGGTGGGGGCAGGCTTTGTCGCCCAACTTCGCGATTTATTTGGGACAAGCTGAGCAGCGGGCTGAGAGGCGCGGACGGCTCAACTGCAACAGTTTGTTTAACCCAGGCTCCGTTACTCTTCATCAAGCGCCAGTGATCGCCAGATGTGACTTGTCGCCACGCAATTGCCCCCCGCGGTTTTTGCTGATTGCGTTTGCGCCGTGCGTGATCGCAGACTCATGATCTCAGACAGCCTCGTGGGAAAGTCCTTTAATGTCAAGTGAATCCATCTCGTTGTAATTGCTGCGGTATGTCATCTTTGTTTCTCAGCTTACCCCAGAACATTTTAGTTGGGCCCCATAATGACATATGTTGTCTCTCAGCCGTCTCTTATGATTAGTGTCCTGTGACCCATGCTTCTCACGCTTGATTCTCCTAGTCTTAGGGGGCTTAGTTTTGCAAGTTTGGCAGTGTTTCGTCACGCTTTCCACAATTGAGATTGTGTTATCGCGATAGTATGTTGCGCGCTATAGTCCTTTCACCCAACATTCGTTACTTTGGCTCAAGAAGCAGGTGCGCGCTTAGTGGCAACCGTTATGCAGCCAGTTGGCGGCTCATTGTAAACAGAGGTTATCAGCCGTATCGCCATAAGTCTTACGTTGGAAAGCCTCGTTTCCATCCGGCCATAGAGCCGGTATGTACGCAGTCCAAGGAGCCGGGTAATGCTGGGCACGGTTGGGCAGACGATCGCTCTCGTTTCCAATACACCCCCACCACACCAGCTGAGTTGCTGGCTGAGTAGAAGACAACAACTGGACGCAAGGATCATGAACAGGCAGTTGATGTGCAAAGGACAAATCCGATCCTCACGGGTAGAATGATTGGACTTCGGTCCAATTGGAGTGGGGAAGGCATGTGACCGTCACCACCACTTGCCCAACAGTGCAGTGGCCTGGGTCATAAAGGAAGGAGCCGCTCGCAGCGACATACCGCTGAGCTGTCAAGCTGCGACCCGCGGCCACCTTGCACCCAACAGTCTCCGGTCCAATTCTGGAAAGGCTCTCGTACCCATGGCGCCGATCAATAGAGCTGGCCAAACACGAGCTTTCTGCATCACCTGCCTACGGTCCTTTCGTGCATTTGCCACAACAGTCTTGCCCGATTTCGTCGAAATTCGTAATTTTACTAACCAAATTCAAGCAAATTTGGGTTCTACTAAGGAAAAGTTACGTAACAAATTGCGTAAATGTAAATGTAAATCCAATTCAGGTTAAATCCAATTTTTTAGGTTATGTATAAATTTTTGAGAGCGTGATTTTGAAGCAGAAAATGTTTCAATTTATGTCAGCTGGCTTTGTCCAAAGAGGCAGGTGTTCTACAGGACAACGTGTACTTGAGGGTATTTGCGCTATGGAATTTTTGTTGTGGAGCATGTGTACCCTTCTTGACTTGAAACAAAGCCTGTTTACTTGAGGGTGTCTGCTTGAGGGAGGAATTTACTTGAGGATATTGACATTTCTTCACTTTAGGAAGAAGAGCGTTCACTTGAGGGTCTTTATCTTTCTGATGGGAGACCATTTACTTGATGTTACGTTGCTTGAAAGATGAAACTTGTTCTTGGGACATGTTCTCTGATGTTTTTGCCAGTGTGAGGGTGCATGTGATGTGAGAAATCTTTGGCTCTGTGAGTTGCTGTCACCATGGCTGCTTTGGAAGCAGCTGCGCATGCTGTTGTCTAGGTTTGTAAAATGTTCTGCGCACTGTGAGCCATTTGGGGCTGTCATTTCACTTGAGAAGTGTTTACTTGAGGGTGTGAATTCACTTGAGAAGCTTTTACTTGAGGATGTCATTTTACTTGGGAAGTTGATGTGCTTTTACTTGAGGATGTGAATTCACTTGGGCGCTTTTACCTGAGTGTACTTTACTTCAGGTAGAGACTTTGTGTAAGTATCCTTTTCATGAAGATGTCATTCAATTTGGAACTTGTGTTTAGTTTTCTTGTGAGTTGTAGTGTGTTTGATACCTTTTTTAAAGATAAGTAATTTGAAAAACTAAAAATCTTAGATGAATTGTCGGTAAATTCTTGATGCACTTTTGATGTATTTTTCCCGAAAGCATTGCGAAGGGTTCTTCCGGAAAATCTCTTGAACACTGACACTTCTACACTTGCACTTGAACACTGACACTTCGACACTTACACTTGAACACTTACGCTTCCACACTTACACTTGAACACTTACACTTCTATACGCACAATGGCATAGAAGTATATCCGAATCAAAAAACTTTTCGTTTTGCGATGAAATCCATTGGAATTCCCAGTCGTGTGGGTGGCCGGTCATCTGGTCCGCTGGTCCCCTTCTCCGCTGGTCCTCTGGTCCGCTGGCTGGTCCCCTGGTCCTCTCGCTGGTCCGCTGGTCCTGCCACCAAATCTGCACTCCAAGGCACACAAAGTCCTGCACCTGCCACCAACTCTACACTTCCACATCAAAAACTCCTGCGCCTGCCACGAAATCTGCACTCCAAGGCCACAAAGTCCTGCACCTGCCACGAAATCTGCACTTCAAGGTCCACAAAGTCCTGCGCCTGCCACGAAATCTGCACTCCAAGGCCCACAAAGTCCTGCACCTGCCACGAAATCTGCACTTCAAGGTCCACAAAGTCCTGCGCCTGCCACGAAATCTGCACTCCAAGGCTCACAAGGTCCTGCACCTGCAACGAAATCTGCACTTCAAGGTCCACAAAGTCCTGCGCCTGCCACGAAATCTGCGCTCCAAGGCCCACAAAGTCCTGCACCTGCCACGAAATCTGCATTTCAAGGTCCACAAAGTCCTGCAGCCTGCCACGAAATCTGCGCTCCAAGGTCCATAAAGTCCTGCGCCTACCACTGGCCACCAACTCTGCATTTCAACATGTGCATTGCAAGGTCCACAAAGTACTGCACCTGCCACGAAACACTACGACAAGCAAGCAAGCAAGCACGAGCTGCTCACCTTTGGATCTGGTGTGCTGCTGGGAAATCTGCACTTCATCCCCGACACACTATTTCGCCTGCCACGAAATCAATATTTTAAGGTGAACTCCCCGGTGCCAAATTTTTCTAACCAAGCAAATATGCCTCCTCTATCTCTCTATCTATCAATCTATCTACCTATCTATGTATTTAATCTGTCTATCTGCAGTTCAACATCCACAAAGTACTACGCCTGCCACGAAATCTGCACTTCAAGGTCCACAAAGTCTTGCGCCTGCCACCAAATCTGCACTCCAAGGCCCACAAAGTCCTGCACCTGCCATCAACTCTACACTTCCACATCAAAAACTTCTGCGCCTGCCACGAAATCTGCACTCCAAGGCCACAAAGTCCTGCACCTGCCACGAAATCTGCACTCCAAGGCTACAAAGTCCTGCACCTGCCACGAAATCTGCACTCCAAGGCCCACAAAGTCCTGCACCTGCCACGAAATCTGCACTTCAAGGTCCACAAAGTCCTGCGCCTGCCACGAAATCTGCGCTCCAAGGCCCATAAAGTCCTGCGCCTACCACCGGCCACCAACTCTGCACTTCAACATCCACAAAGTCCTGCACCTGCCACGAAATGTGCATTGCAAGGTCCACAAAGTACTGCGCCTGCCACGAAACACTACGACTACCACTACGATACTGCTGCTATAGTCCGGTTGCTGCTCTTACTGCTACTGCTATTTGGAATATTTTTTTGATTCATTAAACTTTTTGTTGATGCGTGTGGAATATTTTTATTGATGCGTTAAATATATTTTTTCGATCTCTCACCCCTAATGAAAAACATTTCCCCACTTTATGCATTCTCCTTTAAAGGCTGAGGGTGGGACGAACAGCGTCAACCGAAAATGCAACCCTCTGCGGAGATCGTGCGTGTCGAGGGCACGAAATGCAGGCGAGAGTGCGATTTGTCCGGGCGTGTCGAGTGCGCGAAATGCAGGCGAGAGTGCGATTTGTCCGGTCCGCGCGCAACCCTCTGCGGAGATCGCGCGTGTCGAGTGCGCGAAATGCAGGCGAGAGTGCGATTTGTCCGGTCCGCGTGCAACCTTCTGCGGAGATAGTCCGTGTCGAGTGCGCGAAATGCAGGCGAGTGTGCGATTTGTCCGGTGTGCGCGCAACCCTCTGCGGAGATCGTGCGTGTCGAGCGCGCGAAATGCAGGCGAGAGTGCGAATTGTCCCCTTTGCGCGCAACCCTGTGCGGAGATCGTGCATGTCGAGTGCGCGAAATGCAGGCGAGAGTCTGCGGAGATCGTGCGTGTCGAGCGCGCGAAATGCAGGCGAGAGTGCGATTTGTCCCATACGTGCGCAACCCTCTCTGCGGAGAGCGTGCGGGTCGAGAGCGCGAAAGAAGGCGAGAGGGCGTATCTGTGGAGCTGGAAGATATAAGAACGGGCGAGGGGCTAGTACAACTTGAGTACGCGGAGTATGTGGGGAGCTGGAAGATGAGAACTGGCGACTTGGTAGTACAACTTTAGCACGCGGAGTATATGGGGACGGCCAGATGAGAACTGACGACTCTGTAGTACAACCTTAGCACACTCAGTATCTGGGGCTGGGGAGCTGGAAGACGAGAAGTGGCGACTCGGAGTAGCTGGCGAGCTGGAAGATGAGACCTGGCGACTCTGTATAGTACAACTGGAGTACGTGGACTCGCGGAGTATCTGAGGAGCTGGAAGAGGAGAACTGGCGACTCGGTAGTACAACTACGCGGAGTATCTGTGGAGCTGGAAGACGAGAACTGGCGGCTCTGTAGTACAACTCTAGTACGCGGAGTACTTGGGGACCTGGAAGATGAGAACTAGTGATTTGGTAGTGCAAGTTTGGTACGCGGAGATCTTACTGCCTCAACTTACTCGGACACACACACACACAGACAGGGACTCATACACACACAGACATAGATACACACACAGAGACCCACACACTGCCTCAACTCACTCGACTTAACACTTCACACTGAACACTTAACACATAACTCACACTCTGACTTCCTACGTGATGAAAAATGCTTTTGGGCCACTCGTAGTCTAGTTCAAAAGTGCATACACTTTGTCAAAAGTTTGGTTCCACCTTGGTGGATGTCAGGGCTCCTGGCAAGAGAGCTAGCTCAGCTGATTTGCAAGTAGCTTTGGATTCAGAGCA